AACCAATTTTTATTTATTTTTATTTATTTTTTTACTTTGAAAACATTATTGCATTAAGAACGAGAATTTGTTGAAATCAGACAAACTCACACTTTGAACATGTTTAATGAAACAGCAGCAGTTGAAAGACATTCAGAACAATGAATAAATACAAAGTGCGGAAAGGATGATTGATGAGTTGGCAAAACAAAGTAATAATAAAAAATACATCAATCTCTGACTAATGAGAAGCACATCATGAAGAGCCAAATAAAACCTTAAATCAGTGATGTAGCATTAATGTAAAACCTTTAAAAGACAGATGCAGAAAAAAGTCCTAAACATTCATAAAAAAGTACACAACATTTCAGTACAAAGTCTTACTACATGAGACATGGAAGAACTGTCTGTCAATCATGGCAGCAACTGTTTGAAGACACACTGAAAGAAATTTATGTTCTTACATAACTCAACTATGTGCAGCACTCGTAGAAGATGAATGATTATACAAAAACTCAAAGAAAAATTATATTTAAAAAACTTTTATAACTGGTGACTAAATGTTAAAGCTTACTTTTACAGACTTCAGCTTAAATAAAAATGAAGGAAATACTGTAACTGATTAATTGAATATTAAATTCATTATTGTTTTTCACACTTTCTGATCATTTCAGTCTGTAAGGTTGAAGCTGACAAAGAGTTGGTGTGTTATCATGTGTTCTTTCTCTTAGCCTAAACAAAACTGAGTGACGTTCTGACGTCTGACGTAAAAGGTTACACCTCCTGGGGTGTAACCAGGAAGGGATGTACATTATAAGCTCAATTCATGAATATAGTGGAGAGAAGTTGTCAGTGTTTTGAAGAGTCTCTGCTCAGAGCAGAGTTGCTCTGTTTTCTTTGGGGTTTCTTGATATGCGCCTAAGGTCTTACTGCCTGTGTGCTGAGTGCTGTTCTGTGAACCTGATTGGAGTCAGAAGACTGAAAATAAAGTTTTAAAGAAGAAATCCAGCTGATTCCCRTTTATTCRGACATACCATTTTGAACAATGCATATTTTTCAAACAAAAAGAATGTTTCACAACTTTCATGCAACACTGTCAATCGTGACATGATAGATGCCATCAAGGATTTTTAAACAACCCACAAACAAAACTCTCAACTCTTATTGGTTGAACAGTGATGTGAAAATTAAAGTCCTTTTWCCTTTCATTCAAAGTACAAGAAGTGAATCAAAACTTGATTTAAAAAAATGATTTGTGGTTGTCAGTGGCTGGGTTGATCAGACAGTAACAGATGTCACATTATAGATATTTTCTCAGTGGGCAGAAGAGTTTGAGGCCAATTTACTTTTATTTCAAAACATCCTGAAAAACTCTGAGTGGAGACAGAAAATCAGTGAGTGTACTGTTACCTTGTGGCTCATCTCATATTATTTAACATTTGACAAGACTTTTATTTTGGAAAGGCATCTACTCTGTACACTTAGCTCCAGCTTTTTCTTTAAAAAGTTGGGATTTGACAGTTGTCTTGGTTTCAGCTTCTTGATCCATCTCATGTGTTGCAGCTCTCGTCATAAGAAGGAGGAGCGTCTGTAAATGAAAACATTTTCAGGCTGGTAAGCCCTTAAACACAACACCAAATCTCAGACTTTTCAGAATAATGGTTTGATGTTGACTACAGCAGCAGGCAGTCAGGTGGTACTCAAAGGAAACTTTGGTATCAACTACAGTGGGGTGCGAATGTTTGGGCACACTTGTTAATTTTCCTGATTTATCGTTATAAATCATTGATTGTTTGGATTTAAAAAATCATTAAAATATAACATATAGGGGAGAAACACAGTGATATTTGAGAAGTGAAATGAAG